TTCTCTCGGAGCTGCCTGCAATCCTCGGTTCGGTGCCCATGCGAGTTGTGAAACTCGCAAATCAAATTGTAGTTCTTTTAGGAAGGATCCGAGTGTACTAGTCTGGGCCATCTGGCGTCCCTAATTTTGCTAATGGCGAACACGATGTCCGACACATCAACATTTAAGTTATACTCTGATAGGCGGGGCGCCCCTGTTGGTCCCGCATACCCGTCGAAGCCACCTCTATTGAGGGGTCCCCAAGGGTTCTGTCCTTGGTTTACCAATCGGTCGTAATGGGGCGGATTGTGCTTTGGAGCATTTCTCCTATCATCGGGGTATGGCTGTTACCTCTCTTTATTTGATCTTGGCTCCTTCGCCAAGAGCCTGCTCGGGTATACTAAGCCCGAAGGGGCTCTCAGCTAGTCGTCCTCGACCCTGATCTTTGACTGGTATCGGTTTTGGACGTCCGACCAGGTTACGGTGGGATACTCGATCAGATTTTCTTTTAGCTGCCTTGATGCCACCGAGCTTTGTTCATTCAGACCTTGAGTGAAGGCCTGCACTGCCCAGTCATCGGAGATCGGGGGTAGCTCCATTCGTTCTGTCTGAAAACGAGACACAAATTCTCGCAGCATTTCGTTCTCCCTCTACTTAATCTTGAATACGTCGGACTGCCTTGTTGCTACCTTGATGGCACTGGCACACTACGAAGGAGTCCGCTAGCATGGCGAATGAATCTATGGAGTTGGGAGCTAGGTTGTGGTACCACATCATAGCCCCCTTCGAGAGCATTTCTCCAAACTTCTTCAGTAGGACTGATTCGATCTCATCGTTTTTTATGTTGTTGCCCTTCACCGCGCACGTATAGGCAGTGACGTGTTCGTTGGGATCCGAGGTCCCGTTGTATTTTGGGAGTTCTGGCATTCTGAACTTCTTTGAAATGGGTTTTGGAGCCGCTTCCTCTGGGAACGGACATTGCACAAACTTCTTCGAATCTACACCTTTCAGGATCGGGGGTGCGCCCGGGATTTGGTCAACTCTGAAGTTATAAGTTTCGACCTTCTTATCGTTGGCTGCTATTATTTTCTCGCCTGACTCGATCCTTTTGGTGAGATCCTCCAGCATTTTCACGATGGCGGGATCGGCTACCGATCTATCATTGCTTGACCTCTCTGGTACCCGTTCGGCTGGGGGGAATAGTTTTCGGCGCTACTAAGTTGGGAGTCTTCGCATGGCTTTGTAACTGAGCGATAGCCAACTGCTGTGCCTGCAACATTTCAAAAATATCGTGAAGACTAACTTACTGTGCTTCCCGAGCCGGGGTTTTTTGGGTTTCCAGTTGGTCACATTGTTGTATGCTTCCGCCGGTGTGTGAGGTTTCGTCGACCTGTTGTGCGTCCTGTGAGTCCTGTCCGCCAGAATTGGTCCGGGGGCGTTATCGGGATTCTGTGGTTACGTTCCGACAGCTGGAACAACCACGCCGGTTTCCCCATGGTTTTCGAGGTTGTCGTTCTCGACTCTGTTTACCGAGCCAGACATTTTGACCTGAAATCATAAGATCTTGGACAAGAAAAAGTGTGAAAGATAACTTGCGTTTGTGGAATGAAACCAGCAAGAAAATAATTACTATTATTTTTAGCCCCACGGTGGGCGGCAAACTGTTTACCGTGAAAATGGTAACAACAATTAAATTTGTAAATGGAATTCTAAAAATACGTGATCTATCTTTATGCTAGTTGTTAGAGCAGTAGATGCTAAGGGTATGAAATTTAACGAAGAGATTCAAGCTAAAGCGAGGCAGTAATCAAACCAAGATACTTGCAGCCTGAGCCTCGGACTAGTCGATGGAGGACCTCGGGGTTGATGTTCCGATTCGAGCTCGAGCTATTGGGGTAACCGGGAAAGGGGATAACAGTTAAGGTATGATCAAACAAGGCTCTTTATGGCCAATGTCAAGCAATAAATGAAGAACAAGTATAAAACTAATAAATGCTAAGAGCGGCCTCGAGCTAGTAAGAATGAGTAAGCTAGAGAGAAGAAAGAGAGAGATATTATTGATCTTGCGGAGATATAGATGGAGCAACATCAGCCCTTTACAAAGTGGCATGGATTCCCTTTATATAGGAGAGGGAATACAATATAGTACAGAGCGCATTAAATATAAAGGTATGGGGATGGGATGGCTAGGCACGATGCTAGACCCTGCTGATGTTGGCTGCTTGCCTCGGAAATTCCCCATCCTCGAAACCTTTGTTGGGTCGCGAGCGAACCTCGGGGGAGGAAGATCGATTGTAGTCCTGCAGCCTCGAGATACTGATATGACCCCCCCGAATCCACCTGAGTGGCGAGAAATAGACTCCTCCGATTTCACCGTATACACTAATTAATACTTATTTTATATATATTATCTTTTATACAGTTAAGGGCTGTCTGGTCAAGAATAAGGAATTACAATATTGGAATCAATTGTGATATTAGTTTTATACCACTCTATGTGATAACAATCTAGAGATTACTAATCCGGTGATTAAAGAAAAAACGATACCTTTTCTCTTCTCCAAAACTTTTGTTCTTAAGTCTTCTATGAAAACAAGGTTAAAATTTAAAATAAAAAGTTATTCAGGTTTGGGTAGAATTTAAATCAAACATATGTTAAATTATGGAGTACCTCATATTACCCATTTTTAGTCCAGTAAACTTAATATTTACAAATAAAAATGTATCTACTGAATAATTCCCTCATTAATTAATTCATATATTATAATTTCATATTATAATCCAAGTATAATTGTTCATAAGACAAACGAACCCTTAATAGATAGAACTAGAACTTATATAACAAGAGAAAATAAATAAGAGCCCATTTGGATTAGCTCATTTGAAGTAGCTGATAAGCATTAGGTGCTGAAAAATATTTTTAAGTGTTGAAACTGATTTAATAAATAAGTAGTTACGTGTTTGGATACAAGTGCTGAAACTAAGAATAAGTTGTCGTAGTATTTGATAAAAAAGTGCCGATAAACTCCTTTTCTATTAAAATGACTTAAATAACTTTAGAACTGTTTACACTTATAAGGGCGTAATTTCTTCAAAATTTTAGATTCCAAATCGATTCAAATACAAAGTATTCTATTTGTCATTTTATTTTAAATACAATTATTCTTAGAGATAAGATAACTTTGATGATAAATATAATTTATTTTACGATAAGCATATATTCATATATTATAATGATTAATAAGTTGACAAAAGTTTCTCGGTAAAAAATAAACCTAAATAGGACAAAATATTTGAAGAGAAACCAGCATTGTCTTCATCACCGCAACACTTAGAAAGCGATACACCAAAAATTTAATATCTCATCATTTATTACATACAGTTCAAAAATTAATACACAATCACATAGATACAAATATGCAAAGGAATAGAGAATTTGCTTATCTTAAATAGTCAATGAGAATTGCAGACTTGAGGGGGAGGGTGAAACAATACTTGAGGCAGTGAGTATAGATGTAAGAGTTTTGTTCTAAAAAAGAATATTTTAAGGATAAAATAATAAAAATCTTGGTCAAGCTTAAAGTGCTTATAAGCAAAAAATTCACAAGCTGGGGGTGATCAGTTTATGGTTTTTGGCCAGCTTATAAGCTGGTTTGACCAGCTTATAAGTACTTTTTGGCTTATTTACGCGTTTGGTAAAGTTAAAAGTGTTTATAAGTCAAAACAAGCCAAAAGCCATAAGGTGGTCACCCTCAACTTGAATTTTTAGCTTGTAAACATTTTAAGTTTGACCAAGATTTTTACTATTTTATCCTTGAAATATTCTTTTTTAGGACAAAACTCTTACATTGATACTCACTGCATCAAGTATTATTTCAACCTAACCCCCCTCCCCATCTCTTCAAGTCTGCAATTCTTATTGACTACTTAAGATAAGCCAATTCTCTATTCCTTGCATATTTGTATTTATGTGATTGTGTATTAATCTTTGAACTATATGTAATAAATGAGGATATATCAAATTTTGATATATTGCTTTCTAAGTGTTGTGGTGAAGAAGATAGTATTTGATTCTCTTCAATAATTTTGTCCCATTTAGCTTTATTTTCTACTGAATTTTTTTTGTCAATTTATTAATTATTATAATTTATGATTATATGCTTATCATAAAATAAATTATATTTATCATAAAAGTTATCTTATCTAAGCACAGTTGTATTTAAAATAAAATGACAAATAGAATATTTCATATTTGGATCGATTTGGAGTCTAAAATTTTGAAGAAATTATGCTCTTATAAGTGCAAACGGTTCTAAGGTTATTTAAGAAATTTTAATAGAAAAAGAGCTTATCAGTACTTTTTTATCAAATACTGCAACAACTTATTATAAATTTCAGCACTTGTATCCAAACAGGTAAGTGCTTATTTATTAAATCATTTTTAGCACTTAAAAATGTTTTTAGCACTTAATACTTATCAACTATTTCAAATTAACTAATCCAAACGGGCTCTAAATCACATAGAAGCTTCGTTTACAATTTTTTCACTGAGACATTAAGTTGGATGGACTTTTTTTAGAACTATCGTTTATGTTTGACCCCGTTAAGTAACAAATTGAAAAAAATAACCTTCTAGTAGAATTTTAAAGCATTAGAAAATCTTATAATCACCAGAATAATGTCACTAGATGAATTTTGTGGCTAATTGCATAAATATTTTTGCAATCATCAGAATTTTGTGACAATCATCATAATTTGCAAATTAATAATAATGGTTATATTTTTTATAATGATCGCTTTAACTTGCAAATTTATGGCAACTGTCAAAATTTTGTGATGATCACCGTAAATGAAAATCTTCGGGCGCAAGAATATTTTTCCCAAAATATTTCTTAACAGGGTCAAAATTTAAAGTGTGGGCACTAAATGATCCTATTTGTGCAAATCTCTCTTTTTACACTTTTGACCCGTATTTTAACCCAAGGCCCAAAACCCGAACTGGACCTATACCCCTTTCCTTTCGAAATTCATAAAACTGTTTCAATGCTCCGAAGCGAGAGACATTGACGATTCTCTTTTCAATTCACAGCTCAAAATCTCCCTTTTTACCTTCGTTTTCGATCTTCTCTGTCATTCTAATCAGCCATGGGTTCTGGTAACTTACTCTCATTTACTTCAATATTTTTTTGTAATTTTCTGTTTAAATAAAAATACTCTATTTAATCCGATTTTGTGAATATAAATGTGTGTGTATGTTTTTGAAGATGCGGATATGGAGGATTATGGATTCGAGTACTCGGATGAGGAGCCCGAAGAGCAGGATGTTGATATTGAGAACCAATACTACAACTCCAAAGGTTTTTTCTAATTTAATTTTTTTTAGAGAACATGTGTTATAATTTTGAAATTTCAATGTCATAGATATGCTGATAATTTTGATTTTTTCGTTTATTTTTGCTTTATGTACATGGACTATACAGAATTGTGTTGTGTTATTTTTTTTTATATCCTTGGTGTTTGGGCTAGCTTGCATGCACCTTGAGTGGTCCATGGGTACCTGCTACATCCCACTCTATCCATCAAGGCAATCCACCAAGGCTTGGACAGGTGGAAAGAGTTCTTCTAGTGTTTTGCCCCGGGATTTAGACCTCTTGATGTCACCCAATGTGGTACTAGTTATTAGCTTATTAGGAGCCCGTTTGGCTTAGCTGATTTAGAGTAGCTGATATGCATTAGGTGCTGAAAAGCACTTTTAAGTGCTGAAACTGATTTAAAAATAAGCAGTTACGTGTTTGGATAAAAGTGTTGAAATTAATAATAAACAGTTGAAGAACTGGGTATACGAAGAGTTTTGTTTTAAAAATAAGTATTTTAGGGATAGAATAATAAATATTTTGGTCAAACCTAAAGTGCTTATAAGCTGAAATTTGATAAGTTGGGGGAGACCAACTTATGACTTTTGGCTTATTTTTGGCTTATAAGCACTTAACTTATAAGCACTTTTAATTTTGCCAAACGCTTAGATAAACCAAAAAGTGCTTATAAGTTAGTTTGACCAGCTTATAAGCTTAGCCAAACACCCTCTAGTTGTCTTAGGGGAAAAAATTGGGGTGTGAACTCTTAAAGAGGCATTTGGTTTGGTCAATGTATTAATTCAAAATTTTAATTTGATGGGTTTAGTCTTTAGGTATCATCACTGTACACATTATACTTGAGGAATTATGGTTCAAAATGTAATATTTTAAAAAAATTAGGGATCTTTACACAAATAGCAGGGAAGATTCAGTATTTACTTTTCCTAGTTGTTATACATAGATCATACACTACATATATACAATTATCCACATATTATACATGTATTATACATCTACTCGCTATTTTTAGCTTAAGCGGTTGGGTGGACGACTGTTTAGGTTAATTCTTCAAATATTTGGAGATGTTTTTACATATATATCTATATCTTTGCATAACAATACTGAGTTCAGTTGAAATCCATTGTTTATAGGCTACATCCATCTTTGTGTATTATGTCTGGACATTGGAACAAAGGACATGTATTGTAAGTAGTTTGTAGAGTTAGTGAAAACTGGACCTATTATAGAGGAGAAAGCTTGGGCAGTGTGTTTATTAAGGAAAAAGGCAGAGTAAACGATAGGCCCCAGGGTTAGTTCAAGTGGCAAAGGTTGAGGTACTTGTGACATAAGTCACAGGATCGAGCCCGCACCCTGCTAACTAAGCCCGATATATAAGTGGATAAGGGTAGAGGGACGGGTCCATTATACCCGAGTTTCGAAGATTGCAATTGATCCTAAGTGTCGGTCTCGGACCGATACCCCGGCCAATAAAAAAGGTGGAGGAAAAGATAAAAAGCTAGACCAGCACCCAAAAAAAAACACCCCAGACTACAATTGATCCTAAGGGTGTGACCGAATGGTCAATGAAGTGGGTTGAGAACAATGAAGTCTCATGTTCGAATCTCAAGGGAGGTCAAAAACTAAGTGATTTCTTCCCATCTGTCCAAGTCTTGGTAGACAGAGTTACCCAGTACTTTTACCGGTGCGAGGTAGCAGGTACCTCTTGGATAGTCAAGGTGAGTGCAAGCTGGTCCGAGCACCACGATTAGCATAAAAAAAGATAAAAAGTTAGGCAAGTGAATATGTTTATTGGTAAAAGGGCACTTGCAGGGGAATTGGAAGGAAACCAAAGCAATTTCCTTTCCCAAAGGCTCCATTTGGATGCGATGACAGATGCGGTCGCGGAACTTGCCAGTATAGAAGTTGCTTAGAGATTAAATAACCTAAAAAACATACTGTAGCAGTAGTAGCAACAGGAAAAAAAACAACAGCTGCATCCTGTCTAGTACTCCTTGGTTGTTAGCTGGTAATATTCATGCTATACCCCATGTAATGGCATTGATTTTATGCAACTGTGCGCATGCTCTATATATGCATCTTGACTACTTATCTTGGGCTAGTAGCATTTTTCCTTTTTCCTCTGTCTTCTTACCTGGTTACAAACTAATATACTGTGATTTTGTCATTCATAGGCTTGGTTGAAACAGAACCGGAGGCAGCACTTGAGGGTTTTGCTGAAGTAGTTCGTATGGAACCTGAGAAGGCTGAGTGGTAAGGAGTTGAAAGTTATATGCTTTTTGTGCAGTGTGGTAGCTGGTAAACTGACCAGCTGGCTCTTCGCATGTTTGCTTTACATATATAAGGAGAACGGACATGCTGTGTGTTTGTGAATTTGTGATGCTGGAGATTGATGTGATGGATCTGTTCCATATGAACCTCAGGTTCCTTAGCAACTGATCTTTCTCATTGAGTTAATAATTAATACTCTACTCAAGCAAACTACTACTCCACAACTTTGTTTTATTAACACGCAGCCTAAGACACAAGCAGAGGATGAACTAAGAGAAACAGTCTTATATGGCATATGTAGGAAAAAATGCCTGCTATTTTATTAACCTTATCTTTCTCTCACAAAACCTGTGGGGAAAAAAAGGTACAATATATGACATGCGTAGATGTTTGTGTGACCGAAACTGGAAAGACTATCAAGTTTCTCCTTCCCAATCTCTCATTCCTATTTAGTTTACGTGTATGACTTAATAAATTTTCAGAAAATGTTCCTATGAGCACTTAAGGTGAGACTTCTCTAGTTGATTGTCAGATCTGATAGTGCGTAGACACACTTTGTAATTGTAAGCCAAAACATGTGGTAGTATTAAGACATATTTTACTTCTCGTTCATGTGATTTGATACTTCTTCGAGACACTGCATAATTGTAATGCTAAAGGGCTGGTGCTATTTCACACATTGGTTTCTTGTTTCATGTGATATGATGCTTCTTAAGCAAAGGTCTCCCACAAGTTTTAAGATTCTCCAGAATATGCTTTTGTATGAAACTAACCAACTATCCTTATTGTTTTTCAGGGGATTCAAAGCTTTAAAGCAAACTGTTAAGCTTTACTATAAGCTGGGGAAGTACAAGGAAATGATGGATGCTTACAGAGAGATGCTAACCTACATTAAATCAGCAGTGACAAGAAATTATAGTGAAAAGTGTATTAACAATATCATGGATTTCGTCTCAGGATCAGCTAGTCAGAACTTCAGCCTCCTACAAGAGTTCTACGAGACAACATTGAAAGCCCTTGAAGAGGCAAAGAATGAGGTCAGAACAATATTCCTTCCCACCAATGTAGTAGGCTGGAATTTAAGGTTCATACCAGAGTTTATGTCTGTTTTGTCAAGGGTCTCATAGTGCCCTTCTTCTTCTTTTGCAGAGGTTGTGGTTCAAGACAAATCTAAAGCTTTGTAAAATTTGGTTTGACATTGGGGAATATGGGCGAATGAGTAAGGTAGCATTCTTTTTCAGATTAGCATTTGCTGTTATGGTGTCACTGTATAAGTTTTCCAACCAATAACTTGAGCATTCAATTAGATTCTGAAAGAACTCCACAAGTCTTGTCAAAAAGAAGATGGCACTGATGATCAAAAGAAAGGTACACAGTTGTTGGAGGTGTATGCAATTGAGATCCAAATGTATACGGAGACGAAAAATAACAAAAAACTGAAGGTATGTTATTACCTTTTTATCATACTGGGTTTTATGCACCTTTGGTGCGAATCCTCTCGGCTGATATGGCCTAAATATCCATCTTTCTATTTAAGTCAGGTTCATATCATCATATGTAGTTCTTTGTTCTAAATTACTCTCTGGTTTTATTTTGTGCTTTTACCACCTTTTTTAAAAATCTTTTCCTCTGCGAAAAGAAAAAAGAAGTTGATCAAACTTTCACAGAAGATGAGAGACTTTCGACATCTATATATTTGTATAGAGGGTAATAAAATGCCCATTTAACTGTCTCCGAGAGGTGCAGCAAAAATTCAAAGATGAACTCCATTCTTTAATTCTATTCTACTAAAGTATCTGTCGACATGGAATTCCGACTCTTTTAAATTGGAGATTCAGTGCTTCCAAATTTTCTCTCTGACTTCTCTCTTCTATCTTTTGATATCCCTTGTTCGTTATTTTGTCATTTTCTTATTTTTATTCTGAATATGTCGGAAAGATCTACTTGATCTAATTTATTTGTTAAAGAGGATGCATGAATGACGGAATACATACTGAAACATGTCCATGAGTAGCTCAATTGCTGTGTTCTCTCGATTGCTAATTGTTGCTTCCTGAGATTCTCAAAAAAAACATGTGTTTATTTACAGGAGCTATACAATAAAGCACTTTCAGTCAAGTCGGCAATCCCTCACCCAAGAATAATGGGAATAATTCGTGAATGTGGAGGAAAAATGCATATGGCAGAGCGGCAGTGGGCAGAGGCAGCGACAGACTTCTTTGAAGCTTTCAAGAACTATGATGAAGCCGGGAATCAGAGGCGCATCCAGTGTCTCAAGTATGTGTGCTGTTTATCCATGTGCTTGTTTTATGCACCATTGCACCTTGAAAATGCATTTTTGAAACAGCTTCCTATGTGATTTCTTTGACATTTTTTCATTCAAGGGAGGATGTGTCAGAATTTTTTTAATTGCATGATAACATAGAATTTATCTCTTCACCTCAGCTATGTGGTCCCAGACAATTATTTTGCAGATTCACCTTCATTTCTCTCCTGTGCTGCTGAAAAAACATTGCCCTGCCTAATATCTTAGTCACTTTGTTTCATCTTACAGGTACTTGGTTCTGGCAAATATGCTGATGGAGTCTGAGGTAAACCCTTTCGATGGCCAAGAAGCAAAACCGTGAGTATTCAGAGAGTTTCTTCGGTTTTTTGTATAAAGAGATTAGGACCTATCAGTTTTGTGATCCAAGTACTGTGCACCTCACTCAAGTAAGCACTGCACCTTAACTATTGCTTTGCTGTTGGTGCGCGACTGTGTTTTATACTTTTCAGCTACAAAAATGACCCCGAGATATTGGCAATGACAAACCTTATAGCAGCATATCAACGAAATGAGATCTTGGAGTTCGAGAAAATTCTCAAGGTGCAGCTAGTAGAATATTGTTTCTTTAAGTCCTTCAATTTGTGGTTATTATTGATTATCATTCTGATTGTGCTTTTCATGGAGTTTTTCAGAGTAACAGAAGAACAATAATGGATGACCCCTTCATTAGAAATTACATTGAAGATCTTTTNAAGATGGCATAATGGTGGCGTACCACTTTGCCAGATAACATTTCTGAATTTGGGATATCCATATATTAGTCAGCCATATTCTCCTTGGTTCTAATGAGTATGATGTTCTTAGATCAACCATGTTGTGCTTTATCATGAATTATTGTTGCTAAGCAGTGCGTGTAATAGAATTCCTTACTGGCTGTTATTATTTGACATGCAGGAGCTTAATGTGCCAGAAAAAGATGTCGAGGAGTTGTTGGTATCACTGATCTTGGACAACCGTATCCATGGGCACATTGATCAAGTGAACCGGTTGCTAGAGTGTGGAGACAGGTGAAACACTGAACTCGGCGTTGTGATTATTTGGTTGTTTTCGGCTGACATTACATCTAATTTGTTTTCCATGCTTTTACGCATGTAGATCGAAAGGAATGAAAAAATACGCTGCCATTGACAAATGGAACACACAACTAAAGTCTCTATACCAAACCGTTGGCAACCGAGTATGTTGAGAGTACCCTGACATGAATAGAGGAGAGTGATTATGTTATGGACTCTTAATTGTTTTTTGGGTTGATTCTGAAGTGAACGGGATTCATGCTCTGGAATATTAGAATATTTAGCTGCTCTTTTTGACTATAGTTTTTTTGGACAAAATTCGATATTTCTTCCCCCTTGTTTTTGTGTTTAAGCAAGCAATGTGGGAAAAGAAAAAACATAGAAGAAAATTCTGTTCATCGGATTGGAGTAAAAACCGAAAAGAAGACCAACGGAGTATCGAGCCATGCATGTCAAAGCAGTGAACTATTAAATAGCAAGAGCTTTTATGTTACCTTTTGCTTCTATACTGTGACGACCAAGCAGCAATGAATTGCTGCCAACGCAAACTAAACAATTTAATTATCTACTCCCATCTCTCTTTTTTTGGAATTATCCTATATATGTGAAGAGATCTTTTTTTATCTTTTTTGGTGAACATGGAATATTTATTCATTACTAAGTAGCGGAGTTACGTAGTATTGACATCCCATTGGGATCGTCAATAGATTTGAGTAACACCCCTACTGAGATAACTAAGACCGCTTAATTTTCCAAGCATAGCCAAATTATTATAAACAAAACTAGGAACATTATTAGCAATAGCTACTCCATTGCTATATGTGAGGACAAGATACTTGACAGGGTTCAGTGGAGATCTTAGTATGGGTATTATCACTTTTAACCCGTGCCAGAAATTATTTATATTTGGTAGCTGAAAAAGTGTATAAAGTTTGTATAATTTTTGTATATAACATATAAAATAAAAATATATATATATTGGTTATTATTTTGAGAGTGGCTATATAGTGTCATTTTTCCATGTTATAGTACGACAAGTTGGACGTGGGCTGTGTCTGTTTCCACTTCTAAGTTGGTTAGGCTATGCTCCATGCTTGAGCGCTTAAAGCTCAATGCAGGTGGAATTCTTGTTAGATACTGTGTTTAAAAAACAGAATAAACAAAAGACGTTAGTTTAAGAAAACAGAAACAGAAAATTCCGAACCCACAAGTTTTTTGTGTGTCCTTAAGGAATTTAATCCCCTCACTATTGTCCAAGGTTATGGATTATTTTCTCCCAGGATAGAATGGAAAAACTATTATGCAATACTGGCAATCGAATTTACAGAACACTTCGGCGAACTCAACAAACGGAACAAATCACACTTAACACTTATATTTATTTATAAAACAATGCAACAATGTAGAAAAGAGGGGATACGTTTTCAGATTTTTTATGTATGAAAAATGAGGCTAAGCCTCTAAATTTATAGACAATAAAAGGGTGAGATAAAGAGGTGCAATTCAAAAGGTGCTTCTTTCATTTCCCATTTACGAAACCTAACAATTCTAACCAAAGGCGGTTTTGTGAAAACTCAGTATCTATTCTCCTTGTGCATTCCTAATGACTCTGATAATACTTCCAGTAATATTGCTATCTGCAGAGTTAAATACATTCTAACCATACTAGTTTACTCTGAATTCTAATTACTTCTTGCACAACATTTATCGTATTTTTTTGGGCACGAAGTCGTTCAAACATCACCTTAGTTTTTATAAACTTTTGTTTTAACTATACTAACACACGACTAGAAATTGATCTACGATATAAATGTGGTTGGTTGAGTGGACATATCTACAGAACGTGTGCAGTGACAATAAAAGTAATGTCAGAATATTTTTTTTTTAAATAAAAGAAGTACGATATGTAAAGATAAATATGTTCACGTATAATCTTCTTTCCATGAAAAAATTGAACATACAGGGTATACTTGATTGGAGAAAGAAAATATTTTTTTTATTTTTTCAGACTCCATTAGTTGGACTACAATGGATATGTTGTTGTTGGTTAAAGATGTTTTTTTTTTCTTATTGAAAATCAAGTTCCTTAAAAATCAGAAAAATGACTTTCTTGACAGAAGTAATGTAACGATTCGGCCAGTCGTTTCGAGAGTTGTAGCCCCATTTCCCCATTTACTGCTCCTTTTGTGCTTTATTGTTGTTATATGACTTACGGGGTTAGTCGGTTTGGGTCTGGAAGAATTTCAGAATGAATTGAGACACTTAGTCTCATAATGGAAAGCTTAAGCCGGAATGTTTGGCCAGATGTTGACTTATGTGTAACAACTCCGGAATGGAGAGATAGCATCAAGAACAAGGATATAGTTAAGGACAATGATAGAGATGATAGAGCTCCAAGGCCATTTACAAGATCTCAAGCTAAAGAGTTGCAAGCTAAGGTTGCTAGACTTCAATGGCAAATAAAGAAGCTTTTAATTGTAGAGGAAGAGCTCAAGCCCAAAGGAGATGAATTATCCAAGTTTTACAATTATTTGGTAGTCCAGATTGAAATACAAGAGGAGGAAGATTGGGTTACTAAATCAGCATTTGAAGTCCCCCAATAGGCCTCAAAATGACCTTAAAAGAGGTCCAAAAGAGGGTGTTTCAAAAGGAGCCCAATTGGAGTCCAAACCAATGACTCAAACTAATAGTTTTAAGGCCCAAATCTGCCCGAAAAGGATTTGGCCGCCCCCACTTAATTTTGATGGCTTTTGTTACCCCTTAGGAGCCACCTACCTAAGTTTGATGGCTATTGTGACCCCTAGCAGCCCCCTACCTAATTTAGATGACTTTTTAGCAACCCCCTACATTATTTTAAGTGCTTTTAACTCCTATAAATAAGGAGTTCTTCTCATTCATAAGACACAACATTTATTGATTAAGTATATCATACTTTGAGAGTTCTTTTGAACCTTTGTTACTTGTGCTTTGAGATTTATCTTTTAACTTTTACTAGTTCTTAGTTCAAGGTAGTAAGATTATTTCTCTTTTATGATATTTTTGATTCCTTTATGGTATTCTTAGAAGGTGGTTAATACTAGTTATTAATTGTTGTCTCAAGTTACTCGTAAAGTGGTCAAGATCCGAATCTATTGTTTTGATTTGCTTTTTAAGTAAAGGCNGCTTGCTAGGGACAGATTGCAAGAAGGACAAACACCAGTTGTTACTTGGGCTGAGATGAAGAGGGTGATGATGAAGAGATTTGTGCCATCACACTTTCAAAGAGAGCTACAACAACGTCTTCAAACATTGAAGCAAGGGTCCATGTCTGTGGATGAGTACTTTAAGGCTATGGATATGGCTATGATCCAAGCTAATTGTACAGAGGAAGAAGAGGCTACAATGGCTAGGTTTTTAAATGGTTTAAATAAGGAAATAGCTGATGTAGTAGAATTACAACAATATGTAACAATAGATGAGTTAGTTGATTTGTGTGTAAAGATAGAAAATCAAAATAAAATAAAGCAGACTAGCTCGTGGAAAGGTCGGACAAACACCATCTCCAAGAAGCCATAGCCATATCATGAGATGAAGAGTTCTTCTAGACCTCAAGAAGACAAGGGTAAAGGTAAATTTGAGAACAAAGAGGAAGGTAAAACCTTTAACCCTAAACCTTTTACACCTTCTAGTTCTATTAAATGTCATAAATGTAAAGGAAGGGGACATATAATGCATGAATGTCCAAGTAGAAGAAACATCATTCTTAGAGAAGATGAAGGATATGAGAGTGAAAAAGGTGAGGGAAAAGAAGAGGGAGATGTGAGTGATGAAAATGATGTATAACTACCTAATGAGGGCATGATTGGGGTAGTTAGAAGGATTATGACTATCAATTTGGCAAGCAATAGTGAAGAACAAAGGGAGAATATATTCCATACTAGGTGTGGGGTAAAGGGAAAAACTTGCTCTATGATCATTGATAGTGGTAGTTGTGCTAATGTGGTGAGTTCATACTTTGTGGAAAAATTGGGACTTGCATGCATGAAACACTCTACTCCATATAGACTCCAATGGTTAAATGATAGTGGTAAACTAAAGGTAAACAAACAGTGCATGATTACATTTAATGTTGCTCACTTATCTTTGTTTGATGTAGGATCGAATTCGAGGACGAATTCTTTTCAAGAAGGGGGGAATGATAGCATCAAGAACAAGGATATAGTTAAGGACAATGATAGAGATGATAGAGCTCCAAGGCCATTTACAAGATCTCAAGCTAAAGAGTTGCAAGCTAAGGTTGCTAGACTTCAATGGCAAATAAAGAAGTTTTTAATTGTAGAGGAAGAGCTCAAGCCCAAAGGAGATGAATTGTCCAAGTTTTACAATTATTTGGTAGTCCAAATTGAAGTCCAAGAGGAGGAAGATTGGGTTACCAAATTAGCCCTTGAAGTCCACCAATAAGGCTCAAAATGACCTTAAAAGAGGTCCAAAAGGGGGTGCTTCAAAAGGAGCCCAATTGGAGTCCAAACCAATGACCCAAACTAATAGTTCTAAGGCCCAAATCTGTCCTAAAAGGATTTGGCCGCCCCCACTTAATTTTAATGGCTTTTGTTACCCCTTAGGAGTCACCTACCTAAGTTTGATGGCTATTGTGATCCCTAGCGCCCCCTACCTAATTTAGATGACTTTTTAGCAACCCCCTACATTATTTTAAGTGCTTTTAACTCCTATAAATAAGGAGTTCTTCTCATTCATAAGACACAACATTTATTGATTAAGTATATCATACTTTGAGAGTTCTTTTGAACCTTTGTTACTTGTGCTTTGAGATTTATCTTTCAACCTTTACTAGTTCTTAGTTCAAGGTAGTAAGATTACTTCTCTTTTATGATATCTTTGATTCCTTTGTGGTATTCTTAGAAGGNGTTGTTATTGCTTCCGCATTTACTTCTCAAATTCTTACTCTAATTTGGATTCCCGACCTAGTTGTTATCATGGAGTTTTGATGGTGCCGTTAGCTCTGTTGGGCGATTCTGGACTTAGGAGAGTATTCGGATTGTGATTTGGAGGTCCCTGGTGGATTTAAGCTTAAAATGGTAAAAGTTAAACTTTTGGGAAGTTTGACTGGGAGTAAAAATTTTGATATCGGGGTCGACTTCTGATTTCGGAAGTTGGAGTAGGTCTGCGGTATCATTTGTGACTTGTATGCAAAATTTGAGATCAATCGGACGTGATTTGATAGATTTCGGCGTTGATTGTAGAAATTGGAAGTTTCAAAGTTCATAAGGCTTGAATCTATGTGTGATTCGTGTTTTTAATGTTGTTGGAGGTTATTTGAGGATTCAACTTAGTTCAAATGGTTTTTTAAGACTTGTTGGTGTGTTTGGCTGAGGTCTCGGAGACCTCGGGTCGATTCCGGATGGTTAACAGATCAAGTTTGGAACTTAAAGGATTGCTGAAGTTTGGTAGTTATTGGTGTAATCGCACATGCAGAGTGGGCTCCGCAGATGCGAGCTCGTAGAAGCGAGAAGGGGACCGCAAAAGTAGCCAGGAAGGAAATGGCAGATGTCGTAGGTACGAGGTTCTTTC